AAAGAAAGACAGAAGAACACTTAACCCTGCCAATGCTTATCGTATGAATTTTATTATTTCTGAATGTATTGAATGTATTTAATTTCTTTTTAAAACTTTAATTACAACGAAAATTCGAATAATACTAAATCTAGTAAAGCTATTATGAAAACAGGAGAGTATAATATATAGGTACAAGATTTAAAGAAATTTTATATTTTTATAGATTTTGAAGTTGGTTCTCAATGATACTTATTTTGTTAATATTATTAGTATACGATCAATTAGATGATTTTTCACATTCAATAAAAGAGCAAAAAATTAAGGTATACTATTAAAAATTTACTGAATAAATTTATATATTTACCAATTATGTATGTAATCACATATTTTTATTTGTCTATTTTCTACTAAAAAGCTATCTTAGATCTTGAATATAAAACCTGCAGTTAACATTTCTGCTATTCATCTACCACATTGTGAATCAAGCTACATGTCATCATTTAAAGATCATTAGGCTTTTTTTCGAATATATATATAATTTCAAATTTATAATTAAGAATGCTAATTATTATATCCTTCATAGGAGCTCCTCATGATAGCTCATGAAAAAGTCATAAAATTAAAGCAAATATAACGTATTAATTCTAAACTTCTTTACTCTGTTGATATTTCTTTTGCATTAAACATAAAAAAGATGATTGAAGAAAATGATGAAATATCATCAGAAGATGATAATATTGTAAGTAAAGAAACTAAATAAAAAGGTATTCATCTATATAAAAATTAGTCAACTTCTAACCAATATGATATTTTTAAAACAGTATATGTAGATATTATTTTTTGTATGTAGTCTTTTTGTCAACAAAAACACGCAGGTTGTATTAGATTTAAGTATTTTTTAATATATTAATACTACAGTTTTTTAATATTATATTAAAAATTATTCTTATATATTTGTAATTCAATTTTTATATGAATTAAAAAAAAAGAAATACGTTAATTATACTATTAACAAACAAATATCTATCTATCTCATATTTTTCATTAAAAAATATGTTAACTTCTACAACATATTATATATTTAGTTAATTATTAATCAAAAATCAAAACTTCATTTAAATTCTTATATAGCAAATAAATATAATATTATTCAAATACAAAGGTAATTTACATATAATAAATAAAAAAAAATACCAATTTAAAATAATATTAGCATTATACAACTCTCTCTGACGATCACTTGTACCAACTAGTCTCTGAAAGCAAGTTGAAGACTCAAGACCAGAAGTAAACAAATAACTTGAAGTCTTCTTAATATGAACTGTTGTCGACAAAGTTTCAAATATGATATACTAAGAAGCAGGCATTTTGGATGGTTTGCAAAGGGGTCAAGCTCTTTTTTCTCTTTTTTCCCAAGTAGACTTCCTTTTGCGTTTAGCATCCAAACTGGAAAAGTTTCTGAGAACAGTAAGTAAAAAGAAAACTCAAGTTACTTTGGGAACAGAAGGCTATGAAGAACTCTTGGAACAACACTCCTTGGTTGGAAAATTCACAAAACTACACTTTTCTTCTGCCATTTTCTTTTTTCATAATTTTCAATAAAAAGTGGGGGATTTGGCTACCCCCTCCAAAAGATCGGCATTGTTTACATTTTTATTTTCAGAAGGTCTTGAGTTATGATATGACAAATAAGAAACACAACAATCACATGTAACAAGGAAGTTCTATTGGGTTAAATTGAAGTACATGAAAGTCCCGTGTTGGATTGGCTTTGACTATACAAAAATAAAGGCTCTATGCAACAGACCTGAAAGAGTAGCTTCCAATGATGCTGGTAGACTGTAGAGAAGACCTCTGTTTAATCTCGTATAGTGAAGAAGCAAGGATATTATGAAAACTGTTAAAAGATTTTGTAATTCGGAAAGAGCAGCTCAGTATAAATGGAATCAATGATCATGTGTCGATGTTTTAGAATTCGAGATAGATTTTATGAGAGTTGTAAACTAGAGCAATATAATAGAGATATGCAATATTCTGAAGTCATATGCATATAATTTTTAGCCTTTAGCACAGGTTAAAATACATCTTAGTTCATAGTTTTCTTTTTTTGTCAAATAGCTCTATGTATAGATTTCTACAACCATGTAGATAGTTTTTTACCTGGTTAGCAGGTTTTTATATCTGTAGACAAGTTCTCTTAGATTTTAGGATAGTTTTTTAGATTCCTTTATATTTTGGTCATTTTCGTATTTGTACTCCTTTTTTACTTTCCCCATTTTCATTTTGCCCTTACCTCTTTTTTTTTTTTTTACTTCTCTACAAGAAAGTGTTATCAGATTGGCGACACTCTATTGTAGAGCGGTGATTCTGACAAGGTCAGTGCTTCTATTTGTTGATGTTTGGGGCTCATATTCTCAGTAAGTTGAGGATCCAGAAGGAGGAAAATTGTCACTTAGGCAGGTCGCTCCTGGGTCATACTCTAGCATAAAATTCTAGGCTTCGGCTGTAGTTTTACTATGATAATGAGACAGATCGAGAAAATCTTTATGTGGACAGGAATATAGTAGTATTAATGATTTGCATATAAGCTTAGCTAGCTGAGGATATTTTTGTAATCTACTTCTGATAAATAAAATAAAGAAAGGATCGCTAAAATAAAAAAAGTAAAAAAATATTAGTGTTATATTAAGTTATATACCGTAAATAATTATTGAATATAGCATTATATTTACTTGCTTTTCTAAGCAGTAAACTTCATATTGAAATTATTATTTCATTTGTACTGACCATTACAGTTGTCTAAAAAAAGCTATTTAACTTATATTACAAAAAACTAAATATCTTTTTTACTTGACTTTCATATTCTAAAAAATTATTTAACACTTCTTGTAGATCGTAATCTAAATTAGCAGACAAAACTATTGGTATTGTTTTTATAGAAGAAGATTCTAAATTTTTGACTTCCAAATTAATGATTTTTTTAATTAATAATGATGTAGAACTACTAGATACCGCATTATCTAATAAATCTACTTTACTAATTTCTACTTGATCTGCCTCCTCATAACTTATAATACTGCCAACTGATGATATATTGTATATATCCCGAAGTTTAGTCTTAGTTAATATTTTATTAAGAAAACTTAGCCCATATTGAATATTAGTTATATTATACGATCGAATTTTAGCAATTCTTTCTAACCTATTTAGGTCTAAACTTGTTCGGTGCTCTTCTAAAATCCACTTTAATGATGAGAAATTTCTTTCGCAATTTGATTGAGTAGGATTGATTAAAAAAATTCTATGTACTAATTCAGCCAGATGTCGAAGCTTATTCTTAAAAGATCTCTACTAAATCTTTGGAATATCTGTACCTAGTACATATAAAAGATCAAATAGTGGTATTTTTGCTTCAAAACAGCATATTTGTATAATTAGTTCTTCACCTTCTAGTCGAGTATGTCCAAGGTTCTGCCAAAGTTCAAGAGTAGTAAGAGCTGCATCATGAAATCTATTATCTTTTAAACTTTTTCTTAATAAATTAAATAAATTTATTAATATATCTTTATTGCTTAATTAAACCTTCAAATATTTTTAAACTTGTCTCTATATTGTAGATGAATATAATATGCTAAAATATAAAAAGGGTATAAAAATTCTTGATAATGCTTATTAAAAATATAAACTATTGAAGCTTTAAATATATTGATTTCAGATAAACGTTTGATTGCTACAGCCAACTTGATTAAGTAGATAAAACAATCAGCTAGCATTGCATTATTAGTTTTAAGCATGTAAATAACTTCTTTAATAGATTTTTATATCAAATGTACAAATCGGCATATAGTAAAAAAATTTTTATTTCTTATCAGATTACTAATTTCTTAATTAGTAATTACATTT